ATACAACAATGCATATTTCCACTGAGATCAGCGACTTTTAAATATATATTACCAGTAATCAGTCAACAAGAAACAGTCAAAATGTTTATCAGATATTTACACACTGGACATCTGTTATTCATACTAAGGGAAGATTTTATTATGTGACCAAGTTTGATGAAGTTTAGTATATAATTTAGAAGAGTTTTTGTGCACACATTAACAATTATTTCCCTTTCATCTTTGGTGATACGGGCAAGGTAACAAAGGATTTCATAAATTGAGTTCCAATGCTGCAGAGAGGGTAAAAATAAAAACAGCAATAATCTTAACTGGCCACTAGAGGGCGGTACACATGTATTCAAAATGTAACTTAACAGACCATTAAACTTACTTTCTGTAAGAAAGCATTGAGATCGTAAATAAAGGAATCTGTAACATGTACAATAAAATCTTCACATGTTTTTTTCAGTTGGTTGTCTACATCTCGCTTTGAGTCCTTGTAATTTTCGGTCACTTGTGGCGTACCCTATGAAAGAAAGAAAAAAATATCAACTGCAGATGAGAAAATATGTTAAACTCCATCTTCTACTTCACACAGCCACAATATTAGACAGGCACTTTCATTTTTGAACAACAAAAGATGCATGAATTGTTAATTTCTCTTCTTTTTTTTTTCCAGACTTTCAAACGAGATCTCTAGAAAATGTTTGTTCTCTTCGAGTTGGAAGCCAGTTGTCAGAGTTACACTGAAACAACTTATACATGTACCGGGTAGTTGTAGAACTTTGGGCAGACTAACCAAAAGACAATCACATACACAGAAAATAGTGGCAAGTTTTGTTTTGTGCTTTGTAAAGGTTCAAAGAAGCACACAATTTCAGATGCACTTTGAATACAATGAAAAAAAAAATGTTTTTCTTTTCAATGGGGAGGGGGTAGGTGGTCCCACAGTGAACATTTCACTCTGGCTTGATGTCTTCACAATCGGGGGTGGGGTGACAGAGTCATAGTGAACATTTTCATTGGTGTCCTTATGAATAAGACGGGGGAGTTACAGTGAACATTTTATTGGTATGGTAGCTGGCCATTTAATATTGACCAGATTACCAATATAAAGAAAGGAAGATATCTTACCTCAATAAGGAACTCTAATAATGCATTATTACTATTCAAAAGAAATAATTTATTCGTCTTCTGTATGAGATGTCTGGCAGCAACTAAAAGAAAAATGTGTTTAGTTAGGAAAGAAAGCTTTATTTCCACTCAGAGGACATTATATATTTTAACAATAATACAGTCAAATACTGAACTTCGCTCAAAATAAACCAGTGATGGATGTACGAGTATTAGAATCATTTAAATCACCAAAGTAGTTGAGCAGTGCATATTCAAATATACTGTATGTAATATTTCTGATTATCATAATCCATCTGCAACCATCACTACACATGTGATTAGACATCACATTTAATTAGCATACAAGTCATATACCTAGTCCCGTAAAATTATGATCTATGTCTTTTTGACACTTTCAGTTGGACATGTGTTAAATATGTGATCACATGATATCATTTGTTTGTAGAGAGGGAATGATACTCAAGGCAACATAGTCGAGCATCAAGTGGCTCTACAAACAAGTGTTATTAGGTGATAACCTCACTGAATATTGCCTATGCACTGATTTTGGGGGAGGGGAAAGAGTCACAGACAACAGTGTAATCAGTATAATCATAGAAAGATATGGTTCGATACACACCTCTCATTTTAGAAAAATCCAACGAAGTTTCTCGGATTGCGAACTCTACATGAAAAGGAGCAATCTGTTCTCTTAGTATACAAATGCTTGACCAGGAATAAAGTACCATCAACAGGACCCTGGGAAGAAAAAAACATAAATACATTCTAACCTGTTTCCTTGGTGTCAATGAATGCTTCATCAGAAATCGAGGTACCATCAACAGAAACTGTTGAGGGGGTAAGGGTGGCAAAGACTTGTGTAATGAGCTTTAAGCAATTGCTTAGGAGGAAGAATTAGTGAAGACCGTGGATAGAGGGCAGTAGATAGAACCTCAGCCTCAACTAAATTGCTAGCTTATGAAATAAACCATACCTTTCTTTTTGTAATGGCTTGACTTGCTGCACATAAAGATAATATACACAAATACAATGTTTCTTGTGATAGACCTTGAAATATGGCTTTCTGAAAAATAAAATGCAGTATAAAAGAATACGAACCCTAACCCTATTATCGAAATAATTACATAACACCCACTAATGCTAATATTAGTAACTTTCAAATATGCCACCAAGAATGTTAATGTTTATTATTAGTAACACCAGTGTAAAGTGAACACCGACCGTCCTTTT